TCCAGACAAAATACTGTAAATCATAATTTTTAGCTGTCTAAGGTTTTCCAAATTCATTTATCAAATCAGAAAATATAGTAGTATCAATTTGGGATTACGTGAGGGATCCTTCTAATCAAACATTGGATGGATTAAGAGAGGCTATCCACTGAACATCGACATAATCCCGATGTAATAAAAAAAAAAAGTATACAGTGGACTCTTAGATAATACGCAAAGATAAAGGAGTTTGGAAACATGGTGAAGTAAACTAAGAAACAGTGTCCTTAATTTCAATTATTATGGTTTCTGTTATATATCTATTTCTATATGTAGGATGTAATAAATCATAAATGTAAGATGATTTGTTTTTTCTTTCTTATTGTTATATATTAATGAAAAAGTTGATAAAACAAAAAATAAAAGAGGAAAATTAACTCTTAAGTATGATGAAGGTGGCACAGAGATTGCCTCCCAAATTCTAGACACCAAAGAAGCCAAGTGAAGGACAATGGGTGGAGATGGACTATTTTATAAAAGGAAAAACAAAAGTGAAGTACTGATTAGATAACCGATCATTCTCAATTATTGTCTTTCAAAGGTTTATATTAACCACTACACAATATTAAATTGCTAAATATCAATGAGTAATAATATCTTCCTTTTTTTTAATACTATAAACTAAACACTGTTCGGAGGAAAATATGCAAATACTTACCTGTGTTTCCATATGTATCATTTCCAAACTTTTTTTACATGCTTCACCTTCTGATAGAAGTAATTGAATTTTTTTTCTTTTCTTTTTGTCATGGCTTCACAATGATAGCAGTCAAATCCTGTTTAAAATAGCATAAAAATGATTATTGTTAGATTACGTAAACTAAATTGTAAGCATTTTGAAGCCTAACACTTAAGGTTGCTATCATTTCTCTACCAACAACACTGAGCAAACGTGATAGGTACTTGAGAGCCAATGACCGTATTTTTTTGTGAATGAAACTAAAAGCTGAATTTTCAACCCATGATTTGCATAGGTTTAATACTGACCTTTGATCATACTTGTGAAAACTCGAATTTCAAAGCAAGACTCAGTTTCTCACAAAGAAATCACTATTCAACAGAATTAACTATACAAATGCCACGAAAAGTAAGCAAGATAAATGATACCGACCCTTACTTAATAATACAAAAAAATATGGTCATTCATGATTATATCAATGTCAAGACACAAGGACAAGATCGATTTTTTTGAGAAAAAAAAAGTAATGCATCTCCAATAATTGGTGTTTACTAATTCAAATCACTTAGCCGGATTTTTCTATAATTACACATATACTTTACTTCAAAAGTAAACCTACAAGAGCTGCTGATCTTTAACACATAGCATCTATTACCCTTTTTTATAATGGTGTTTAGTGGCCTACTACTATAATCTCCAGTAGAAAACACAAACACCAGTCTGGATTATTCTGTCATTCACAATTTTTATATACAGGGCTAGTTTCCAGACCTTCTAGTACTCTTATCATCATCCATAGTGGAGAAAAAAATCAAAAACCTAACATCTCGAAGAGTGTATCCTAATATTATCATAGACCAAATCAAGTAATTACCCTAAAAGCTTCACAGGCTGGAGTTTCCATAGGAATTGTCTGGCTTAATATACTTTAAAGTAAGGAACAACTTGCATAAGAATGGAGACAAAGTGTAGCACATGTCTTGGTTAGAGCTAAAACCTAAGAAGCACATAAAAACAAGCATGCTAGTTATATGAAGCAAAGCAATTAGGTGGGGTTGCATTGTATTGTATCCAACAGAGCTAAGAATGGAACACATCAAGGTAGATTAGAACCTAGCGACCTAAATGCTACAGAAGCCTATATATTGGATCTGTGATGCAGAGAAGACTTTGCATTTAGCTAACACGAGTCACCATAGACTAGAAGACCAAATGTCTTATCAGTGTGCCAATAAAGTGTAAGGGATCATTCATTGGTTAGGAATGAGACTAATCAGCTGCTTATAAGGCCTACTTGCAGTTTCACTCTCTCAACCTACCAAAGGGTCTTGGGAGATAAACTTGGTTTGGGCCTAGCATGTTGTAGAGTTTTAATTTCCTATCATATGGCCTAGATATCTGTACTACTTTGCAAGAGTATGTGTGTTTCAATTATTCAAAGAGAAATGTGAATTCTAGAAAAAAACAAAATCTAGAACTGTTCTTTCCATTGGTAAAAAAAAAACATCCCATTACTTGACTGAAACATATTATAGATATGACGTTCTAGAGATACTAGTAGCCTGTGAC